AGACAGAAATCTTTGAGTTTGATCAAATTTTTTGCAATTTCATGTTTTCTGTGACAAAATTAAAAAATTCGTGGAAAATCTATTTTTTGAGAAAAGTTAATATATTTTTCGGTAATCATCGATTAAAGTATCTACTTTATAATGCACGGAAACTTTTTTGGATACCTGGTTTACTTTTTGAGATAGAAATGTTTGAATTTGCTCGAAATCTTTTGCAATTTTAAGTGTTCTGTGCCTAGATTAAAAATCTGTGGAAAACTAATTTTGAAAGAAATTTTATCGAAATTTTCTGAAATTATTAATTTAAGTATGTACTTTTAAGTAGAACTAATCGCTTCTAGAAATCTGTTTTAGTTTTTGAGATAGAATCGGTTGAATTTGATCGGAAAGAGCAAAAATGTATGTAATAATTTTTTTTGGTTAAATCAAAAAATTCGTGGAAAATCTATTTTCTGAGAAATGTTAATGAATTTTTCGGTAATTATCGATTAAAGTATCTACTTTATAATGCACGAAAGAATTTTTGGATATCTGGTTTTGTTTTTGAGGGAGAAATGTTTGAGTTTGATTTAAATCTTTTGCAACTTCTGTGACTAGATTAAAAGGTCAGTGGACAATTAATTTTGAAAGAAATTTTATTCAAATTTTCTGGCATTACTAATTTTAGTATGTACTTTTAAATAGAATAAACCGTTTCTGGAAATCACTTCTAATTCTTGAGATAGAAAAGATTGAATTTGATCGGAAACAGCATAAATTTATTTATTAATTTTTTGGGTTAAATCAAACAATTTGTGGAAAATCTATTTCTGCAGGAATGTTAATGTATTTTACTTTTAAGTAGAACTAATCGCTTCTAGAAATCTGCTTTAGTTTTTGAGATAGAATCGGTTGAATTTGATCCGAAACAGCATTCATTTATGTAATAATTTTTTGCGGTTAAATCAAAAAATTCGTGGAAAATCTATTTTCTGAGAAATGTTAATGAATTTTTCGGTAATCATCGATTAAAGTATCTACTTTATAATGCACGAAAGAATTTTTGGATATCTTTTTTAGTTTTTGAGGTAGAAATGTTTGAGTTTGATCAAAATTTTTTGCAATTTCATGTTTTCTGTGACAAAATTAAAAAATTCGTGGAAAATCTATTTTTTGAGAAAAGTTAATGTACTTTTCGGTAATCATCGATTAAAGTATCTACTTTATAACGCACGAAAACATTTTTAGATACCTGGTTTACTTTTTGAGATAGAAATGTTTGAATTTGATCGAAATCTTTTGCAATTTCAAGTTTTCTGTGACTAGATTAAAAGGTCAGTGGGAAATTAATGTTGGAAGCAATTTTAGCGAAATTTTCTGGAATTGTTAATTTAAGTATATACTTTTAAGTAGAATAATCCACGTCTGGAAGCCCCTTCTAATTCTAGAGATAGAAAAGATGGAATTTGATCGAAAACACCATAAATTTATTTTATAATTTTTTGGGTTAAATCAAACAATTCTTGGAAAATCTATTTCTTGAGAAACGTTAATAATTTTTTCGGTAATCATCAACTATAGTATCTATCTGCTTTGTAATGCACGAAACCATTTTTGGATATCTGGTTTAGTTTTTGAGATAGAAATGTTTGAATTTGATCCAAATCTTTTGCAATTTCATGTTTTCTGTGACAAAATTAAATAATTCTTGGAAAATCTATTTTTTGAGAAAAGTTAATTTATTTTTCGGTAATCATCGATTAAAGTATCTACTTTATAATGCACAAAAACATTTTTGGACATCTGATTTAGTTTTTGAGGTAGAAATGTTTGAATTTGATCGAAATCTTTTGCAATTTCTAGTTTTCTATGACCAGATTAAAAAATTCGTGAAAAATCAATTTTGAAAGAAATTTTCTGAAATTATTAATTTAAGTACGTACTTTTAAGTAGAACTAGTCGCTTCTAGAAATCTGTTTTAGTTTTTGAGATAGAATCGATTGAATTTGACCCGAAACAGCATAAATTTATGTAATAATTTTTTGTGGTTAACTAAAAAAATTCGTGGAAAGTCTATTTCTTGAGAAATGTTAATGAATTTGTCGGTAATCATCGATTAAAGTATCTACTTTATAATGCACGAAACCACTCTTGGATATCTAGTTTAGTTTTTGAGACAGAAATGATTGAGTTTGATCAAAATTTTTTGCAATTTCATGTTTTCTGTGACAAAATTAAAAAATTCTTGGAAAATCTATTATTTGAGAAAAGTTAAGGTATTTTTCGGTAATCATCGATTAAAGTATCTACTTTATAATGCACAAAAACATTTTTGGACATCTGATTTAGTTTTTGAGGTAGAAATGTTTGAATTTGATCGAAATCTTTTGCAATTTCTAGTTTTCTATGACCAGATTAAAAAATTCGTGAAAAATCAATTTTGAAAGAAATTTTCTGAAATTATTAATTTAAGTACGTACTTTTAAGTAGAACTAGTCGCTTCTAGAAATCTGTTTTAGTTTTTGAGATAGAATCGGTTGAATTTGATCCGAAACAGCATAAATTTATGTAATAATTTTTTGTGGTTATATCAAAAAATTCGTGATAAATCCATTTGTTGAGAAATGTTAATGAATTTGTCGGAAGTCATCGATTAAAGTATCTACTTTATAATGCACGAAAGAATTTTTGGATATCTGGTTTAGTTTTTGGGATAGAAATGTTTGAGTTTGATTTAAATCTTTTGCAATTTCTGTGACTAGATTAAAAGGTCGGTGGACAATTATTTTTGAAAGAAATTTTATTGAAATTTTCTGGTATTATTAATTTAAGTATGTACTTTCAAGTATAATAAACCGTTTCTGGAAATCCCTTCTAATTCTTGAGATAGAAAAGATTGAATTTAATGGGAAACAGCATACATTTATTATATAATTGTTTGGGTTAAATCAAACAATTTGTGAAAAATCTATTTTTTGAGAAAAGTTAATGTATTTTTCGGTAATCATCAATTAAAGTATCTACTTTATAATGCACGAAAACATTTTTGGATACCTGGTTTCCTTTTTGAGATAGAAATGTTTGAATTTGATCAAAATCTTTTGCAATTTCAAATATTCTGTGCCTGGATTAAAAAATCAGTGGAAAACCAATTTTGAAACAATTTTATCGAAATTTAATTCTGGAATAATTAACTTAACTATGCATTTTTAAGTAGAACAATGCGCTTCTGGAAATCTGTTTAAGTTTTTGTGATATAATCGGTTGAATTTGATCAGTAGCAGCATAAATTTATTTTTTGTGGTATTCGTGGAAAATCAATTTTCTGACAAATATTAATGAATTTTTCGATTATCATCGATTAAAGTATCTACTTTATAATACACGAATGTTTGAATTTGATCGGAATCTTTTAAAATTTCAAATTTTCTGTAACTAGATTAAAAAATCCGTGGAAAAACCATTTTCTAAAAAATTTTTGCGAAATTTTTGCACTATTAAGGTTTTCTCTATTAAGGAGAGTGAATTCTTTGAATTCTACTAAAATTTGTTGAATTCATCGTTAAACCTGAAAATAATGATAGGAATAAATGACAATCAAGGGTATAACCAGACCCTTGTTTTTGGTGCTAGATAGTGCTCCTAGTGTTCGGAAAGAAAATAAGGTAGGAACACGTGGGATAACAATTTCATCCTGTCTTTCCTTTGTGCTCATCATCCGTTGTTTTGTATGTAACGAATAGTCTGTACTTCAATGTATTTTATTCACTTCGTTAGCATTAAACTTTACGTTTATTCAACACACTTTTCCGTATTTGATACTCGTTGCCCATCTTCTCTTTCCTTTTCTCTTCCTCTCTCATTGATGACGTAACCTTACATATTCTTGAATGGCTTTATGCATCGCTAAAACATAAAGGAGAAACATAATCAGGGTTGCAATATCAAATGGTTTACCATATCAAAGGCCTATTAGAAGGAATCACCTCTGCTATATGCTCCATAATATCGTCTGTAATTTCCAACATTGCGGTTCAACACCTTATTGATTACCTGGAAAGGTATCATATAGATGAGTAAACAAGCTACTTAAGATTTTATTTTAATTTACCACAAGGCGTGTTATCAACTATTAAACCAATTAAGGTTAAATACTTAAATACTTTTCAGAGAATTACTTTCTCAGTGTTATTAATAATTAAAAATTTGTTTTTAATAAAAATTTATGATAGAGCATCAAATCATCCTAATATTCAATTTTACTAATTACCTTGGATAAATGTAACTCGATTTCATCAAAACCAGAATTTCTTATGTAAATTTACGTTCAGCTTCGGGAATAATAGTTCGTCTCTTTACTTCTATAAGAAAGTGAGGAACGAGGTTTGAAATCATCGGCGGATCTTGAATTACTTAATGGCTGCCCATATCTTTTGTGAAGTCAACGGATTCCATTCAATCCTGCATTTCAGTTATAAGATATTTTATCTATTTCAACTCAGCACAATGCCGGTGTATTGTTGGTAAGTTTTATAAATCGCAAAAAAGAAAAACGTTCAAGTTACAAAATGTTAACATAAAAAAAGAATGATGCAGTGTCAGGAACGTAATACTTTAGCTTCACTAACGAGCTCCAACTTCCAACGAAGCGTCATTGATTTTTGTTAATTTATTCCTCCACCAGAGACTGAAACGAAAAATTAAATAAAAAAAATTTGAACATAGAAAAAGAAGTTAACCCAGAAACTTCGTTTAAACGAAATAAATTCAAAAAAATATGTAGTAATAGATAAAAATTTGTGTTTTATAATAAAGTTTAAATCAATAGATAATATCAATAAAGTCCCATTAGTTAACGAAAGAAACCATTAAAACTAAATGATGTGCCGGAGAAAAAGTACTAGAAAAGGAGTTAACCACCACTATTGATTTTAGTAATTCTCTCGGGATAACTGTATTATCGTTGCCCCACATGGAATTAAGTTAATCGAAACTACTTTTACGTCGACTCTTTGTTTCAGATAAAAGTGCACCGGCGGTTTTAGGACGACGATTCAACCCCAACCAATCACGTAAGAATTCCTTTTATATAATAGCTTATCCAACAAAAATAGAATTATTATTAGAAAAAAATAATTGATGTTTCATAACGTTTTGAGTAAGGAAAGTGTTAGTAGAATTAACTTGTTTGTCAGTGTCGCTCGTTAGCGAGTTACGACATTATTACTTTTTACGTTAAAATCTACTACAAACGTTGGTTGTAGGCGAAAAGGTCGACGGTTTGCCATCGTTAATGACTTTCAGGAACGGAATGTGTAGGAATAAAATGAGTTTACACCCCGGGGAAAGTCATATAAAGCTTAACCGACAGTGCTATAAACTTTTAAGTGCTGTTCTCCAACCCTGCCATTTCGATTGACGTAGCTTTCACTGTGTTAAAATCAACAAGGCAGAATTAATTAAAATATCAAAGAAATCGTAAAATTACATCGCGAGAGCTTTGTTTAAATGGAATCCGTCAAGCAAGTAAATTAAGTTATTTCAGAGTGAACTGATTACGATTTTGGTCCACAACGAAGCATCGGAATAATAGAATTTCGAACGCTGGCGGTGAACTAATTGAAGTAATTACTTTAAGCATGCGATTCGAACGTAAATACTCGACTGAAACGGATTGCATGTTGACCATTTACGCGATTTCCACGTAATGGATTCGCGTTTAAAGTTTTCTTTAGCAACGCAAATATGGAAGGGTGACTAATTGAAAATAATGAAGTGTTTCGAGGATAATTAATAATTAAAATTTATTGCAACAACTTTATTACATCCTCAATTATAATCAAATTAACTGACAGTAAAATATTAGTTACAAAATACAAAAATTTTTACATTATAACCACGTGATTTTAAAAATTTTATACATTGAATTAGATATTATTAATCATCATACAATTAATAAGTTATTTAATTATTAATCTAATTTTGTTTTAACCCAGATATGCCTAAATTAAAACCACTTTACAAGTCATAATAACTTTATTGAAAACTTATTTAAAGAAGCAAAACAAAGTCTTACAAACAAACCATGACAATTTGTTTTCTTTTAAATTGGAAATTCGGGCCGTCCTACATGTAGGACATTCGGCACATGAATATCTATAAACGTAAAATTATTTATTAGTGTGATACTGAACAAAACACTTCGTGTGTACACCAATGTCACATTTTGCGCATCTCGTTGTAGTTTTTTGATGGCAATGAGCACACCTAGTTTGTTTTTCTTGGGGCATAATTAAATGATCTATTCGGTCGAACCGTATATCTATTTCGTGGGACCTACTGGTATGTCCTTTTTGATATGACGATGTTTTTTTATTCTGAACCAACAGCATTACAGCAATTCTCCTTCTAAAACTAAGTTGATCTAATTCTCCTCCATTCTTGCGATGAAAATGCCATGCGTTTTGAATTGCCAGGTCAATACAGTGAGATATCAAAGGAAAATACAATTTTTTTCCTCTGATCGAAATTCGATATAAGTTGATATTTTGGTCAGAGCGGTCGACACCTCCCATATTTGTATTGTACATCTGTATAAGATGCGGCTGCTGTACCTGAATATTCTTCTTTTCTTTTTGCGAATAACGTGTGACCGAGTGAATTGGGGCAACTCCAGAAAAATTGGAACAAACAGAAACTACACTATTATCGTGCCACTTTACTGCAATTATATTCTGTTCTACAATTTTTGCATAATCATAACTTCATCTGCGCTGCTTCTTTATGAGTTTTGAATTTATAAGAGAAATGTCTTTTAGCCTGTTTTCTCTAACCGTACCAGTAGCATAAAAATTCCAGTCAGTTAGTTTTTCGATCAACGGAATTGACGTAAAAAAGTTATTAGATGAAATTTTTTATCTGGCCATTCCTTACGTAAAGCTTGCGCATATTCTAAGACTACTCCAGCACCAACTCCCAATTCAGAAAAGTTTTCACTTATATTTGTAGAGGCTCCTTGATAAGGTTCGAACCAATTCAAGTAACCTAACCTGGTACTTTCTACCCATAACTTATATCCATAGCGCATGGGTTTTCCTCGAATATACTGCTTACAGCTATGACGTCCATAATACGGAACCATAGCTTCATCAACTGAGTGCATTTCTTCAAGCGAGGAATTCTCCATGAATTTTTTATTCAACAGTGTGAAAAGCGGCCTTAGTTTAGCGAATTTGTCACCCTGGTCCAACTGCTGATAATCACAGACGTGAAGATTAGAAAACAAATACTCAAACCGGTCCCTTGTAATTGCTTCTGTAATCACGACGTTATGGCAATCTTTTTCACGTTCCCAGAACATCCTCCGTCTCGGTACTTGCATATATCCACTAAGTATCAAAACGCCTATAAAAGCGTTTACTTCCTGCTTTTCTATTTTTTTGTTGTGCGTACTTATTACTCTGATTCAAAATCAATTCTATTACTTCTTCGTCAAAAAATTTTGAGAAAAGCTCTAAGGTGTTTTCTGTGATCGCCGAATTCGTAGGACTATCAAAGTCGGTGGGCGGTAATTTCAAATCTTCTTTTATCCAACTGTAGTGCATCTATCTCTTTTTAGTTTTTACTTTCTGTTTGTTTCTTGCTGCCGTGTTTTGTGATTGTAACTCTGATAGAGGTATATTGTCATCTGATGAAAAATCACTGTCGTAGTTACTTTCAATTACGATTTCCACCGGCGCTTGTAACTGTGATGCCGGTAGGTTATTCACTGTAAGATCATTTTCTGCTCCAGAATCTTCATCTGTCAGGTCGGCTGCAGCGTTTACAGGAGGAAATATAGTTATTTCATCAACCTGGCTGACAATGTCGTCATTGTCCTCAAGCATAGCAAGGGCTTCATGAAGCGAAAACCTCCTGTAATTAGATGAACGTGATAGTCGTTTATTATTCTAATGTCCTATATATAGTACACCCGTCTTTCACCCCCTAATTTATACTCTAATTTACTGAATAATGCAAAACTTTTAAATAATACTAATTATGCAACTATTTATTGTTACTGTAATCAAAGAATCATAATATTATTCTAATTTCTATAATTGAAAATTACCTTATCTTTCAAAGCGAACCGGGCAATAATCCATTTCCAACTTATCTTGACTTTCGGATGCACTTAAAAGAAAATCTAAAGAAAACACCTAAACTGCAAGTTATCACTCTCACTGCTACATCTAATGAATGCACGACTTCATGTGACGTGCGCATTTCCAGGCGCTCATAACCTTGCAAGTTTCAACAGGAATTGACCGTCCTAAATGTAGTACATTAGGCATATCTGGGTTAAGATATAACTCATTTAAAATATTTCATAAAGATATCTTAATTAACACTGGACTTATTTCGATTTCGGTGGAGGCAGTATATCATAATGTTGTCAAGCAATTAATTATTGTAAACAGCGAAGTTCGAATTTAGATTGTAGCCGAGGTTACTTGCGACCGAGGCTTATAAATCGGCTGGAAGCGACGTGGGATTTATTATTATAACCGGTGAAGGTAGTACATCATAAACTAGTCAAAGAAATAATTTTGTACACCGCGAAGCTTTGATTTCGGATTGTAGCCGAGGTCGCTTGCGGCCTAGGCACTATAATCAAGACACTTAAAAAAAATTAATCGAAATAGCATCGTAAACTTGTCATACCAATAATCATTGTACACACTGAAGTTTCGTATTTCAATTGCAGACGAGGTATTTGAAACAAAACGTAACTGAGGTAGCGCCTCGGCCGGTAGTGATCTCGGCTTCATTACTGAAATCGGTGGAGATAGTGCATCATGAACATGTCATACAAAAAACTTTGTACACGGCGAAGCTTTGATTGAAACAGATTGTAACCGAGGTTGCTTGCGACTGAGGCACTACAACCATGATGCTTAAAAAAATTTATCGAGGTCGCGAGATTCATAGAAATAAAACGTGATCGATGTAGCTAAATTCGAAAAATTCATGAATTTTAGTTAATACTCATCTGATCGGAATTAAATTCTGATTAACTAGCCTTTCTATTGAGGCATCTGTCATCAAAATATTTCAAATAATCTTTCAATTACTAATACTTTAAGCTTATATCTTCATCAACATTTTTTGATTTACTTGTTAGTTATCGAAAAAGCTCATGTTTATTAGTCGTTCATATAGTGACAGAAGAGTTGTATCAGATTGCGAAGTAATGTTGAGGTAAGTTAAGGATTACTGAGAGGTGTGGGAAACTAATAATGATCATTCACTGTAAATGGAAGCGTTTTGGCAACCGACTTGACTACCTCATTTTTTCAATTCTAAGGAGTCATGCAAAGTATCCTGCTCTAATCCAGCAGAATGTAGATTGTGTAGAAATGGATGCCCTTCCTTACAATCAGATACAGTTTGACAGAATTGAGGTTGAGGAGGCCCTGATGGGCGTCAGAGTTACAGACAGTATTGGTACTGATGGTATTCTATTATAACTATTTTATTTAATGCTTCATTAATAATGGATGTCTTTCCTTCATTGTGGAAGCGGGCTTTTGTTCTTCCCATTTTTAAATCTGGGGACCGTGGTGTTATATCTGATTACTGCCCCATATCTATTTTGCCAGCGTTTGGGAACGTGTTTGAGAAAGTAGTTCATGCACGTCTATTCTTTGCCCTTAAGTCTAAAATCAATTGTAGACAACATGGTTTTTTTGCTGGCCGTTTGGTTGACAGAAACTTGCTTAAATATACCCAGTGTATCTTATCTACTCTGGATGATTCTTGTCAAGTGGATTCAGTTTATACGGATTTTAGTAAAGCTTTCAACTCGGTGGATCACAACTTACTTCTGTTTAAACTAAAGAACTTTTGCAATTGCTTGCTTCCTATCTGAAGGAGAGATGCCAAATTGTTTCGCTTAATGATTTTTTTTTAATCCTGTGTCGGTTCCTTCTGGTGTTCCACAGGGTAGCCATCTGGGCCCTTTACTGTTTAATATTTATATTAACGACATATTTAACGTTGTTAATTATGCCCAATGTTTAATGTATGCTGA